AGCCGGCCTTGCTCTTTCTGACCGAGACGCAGGTTTCCTCTCCGGCTGATATTTCGTATCTCTCCTACCCGGGGTACAAATTGGAGCACTCCTTTGTGCCTCGGGCTGGAGTTTGCGTGTATGTCAGAGAGGACATCTGTTCTCGACGCCTCGGCAGTCTTGAAGGTTCGGACCTGTCCATCCTTTGGCTACGCGTAGACAGCGACGACCATCCGCGCGTCTACGGGTGCCTCTATAGGTCCCATAGCGGTAATGCCGAAACAGACCGACTCATCGACCACGTCCAAATGGCTACAGATTCCTTGCTACAACAGGTCCCATCCGCAGAGATCATGATCCTTGGCGATTTTAACGCCCACCATGCCGAATGGCTCGGTTCACGTTTAACCGATCATGCGGGGAGATCTGTTTATGACTTTGCCTTGGCATATGGTCTGACACAACTGGTTACTTCGCCTACGCGGATTCCAGATGTGGAGGATCATACACCTTCCCTGTTGGACTTTCTGCTGACCTCTCATCCGGACGGATATCAGGTTTCCGTCGATACCCTCTCGGCTCTTCGGACCATTGTCTGATCCAGAGTATGGTGCCACTCACGCTCCCTTCGCGGTTGCGTTCTACAGGTTGCCGCCGTGTTTGGCATTACAGGTCGGCGGATTGGGACGGAATGCGGTCTTTCTTTGCATCCTACCCATGGGGGCGGGTTTGCTTCTCGCCGGATGATCCCAGCGCTGTTGCTGACTCTGTCACTGATGTGGTGCTACAGGGAATGGAACTATTTATTCCATCATCTGTGGTACCCATCGGAGGCAGATCTAAGCCTTGGTTTGGTCGCTCCTGTAAGACTGCATTGCGCAGTAAGCAGGAGTGTTATCAAGCCTGGGCTGCGGCGTCGGTGACTCGGGATGTAAACACCAGCACATTAAAAAAGAAGTATATCTTCGCCTCCAGGTCCTTCAAAAGAGTTATTGCCAAGGCAAAGTCAGAGCACATAGGCAGAATTAGCGAGAAACTAGTTCGCCTTCCTTCGGGAACCCGTGCATTCTGGTCTCTCGCCAAGGCTGTCCAAGGGAATTTCTGTAAGCCATCACTACCATCTCTGCACAGGGAGGACGACTCACTGGCCCAAGACGCAAAAGACAAAGCCGACCTTTTAACCTCCCTATTTGCGTCCAACTCGACTCTTAATGACGGGGGGAAAATACCGCCGACCATCCCGCGGTGTGAGTGCTCCATGCCGGATGTGCTGTTCTCACAGCGCTCGGTTCGCAAAGCACTTCTCTCCCTGGACATCCAGATGTCGAGAGGGCCTGACGGAATCCCCCCAATTGTGCTGAGGACGTGTGCTCCGGAGTTGGCACCGGTCCTAACGCGTCTTTTCCGGTACTCCTACTCCCAAGGCGTAGTCCAGAATTCATGGAAGACAGCTTTTGTCCACCCGATCCCTAAAAAAGGCGATCGCTTAGACCCGTCCAACTATAGGCCTATCGCGATCACCTCCTTGTTCTCCAAAATAATGGAATCCATTATTAACTGCCAGCTCATCCGGTACCTTGAGGATCACCAGCTGATTAGTGACCGCCAATACGGTTTTCGTCGGGGTCGATCAGCTGGTGATCTTCTGGTCTACCTGACCAAAGATGGGCGGAGGCAGTAGAGTCCAAGGGGGAGGCGTTGGCCGTTAGTCTGGACATTGCGAAGGCCTTCGATCGGGTTTGGCACAAAGCGCTTCTTTCGAAGCTCCCTTCCTATGGGCTTCCCGAGAAATTGTGCAATTGGATCACCAGCTTCATTGCAGATCGGAGCATCAAGGTCGTTGTAGACGGTGCATGTTCTGACTACAAGCCTATTAACGCTGGTGTTCCACAAGGCTGTGTGCTATCACCAACGCTGTTTCTTCTGCATATCAATGATATGTTGCTAACTGGTAACATTCATTGCTATGCGGATGACAGCACTGGTGATGCTCTATACACCGGCCGGGCCAGTATTTCTCGGGAAAACGTCGCCGAGTACCGGAACAAACTTGTGTCTGAAGTCGAGTCTTTGCTGGACAAAGTCTTGGATTGGGGGCGACTAAATCTAGTCCAGTTTAATCCTCAGAAGACACAAGTTTGCGCGTTTACCGCTAAAAAGAACCCCTTTGTCGTATCTCCTCAGTTTCAAGGCACTCCCCTTCTTGCCTCAGCCAGTATCGGTATCCTCGGAGTCGACATATCGAGTGACGTGCAGTTTCGTGGTCACTTGGAAGAGAAGGCCAAATTGGCTTCTAAAAAGCTTGGCGTGCTCAGCAGAGCGGGACAGTATTTCATGCCGGCACACCGCCTGCAACTTTACAAGGCGCAGGTTCGGCCTCACATGGAATACTGTTCCTATCTCTGGGCAGGGGCTCCCCAGTACCAGCTCCTTCCACTTGACCGCATCCAGCGCAGAGCGGCTCGAATCGTCGACGACCGAGCCCTTTCCGATCGGCTCGATTCATTGGCACTGCGAAGAGATGTTGCATCTCTTTGCATTTTCTTTCGCATCTACCATGGGGAGTGCTCTGAGGAATTGTTCGGATTAATCCCAGCCGCCAAATTTCATGAACGTACATCGCGGCAGAACTCCCGATACCATCCACACCATCTGGATGATTGGCGGTCCACCACTGTGTGATTTAGAAGATGTTTTCTTCCTCGCACGACTTCCTTGTGGAATCGATTACCATCAGCGATTTTTCCGGACCGATACGACTTAGGGACCTTCAAGAAAAGAGCCTACTCCTTTTTAAAAGGCCGGCAACGCATCTGCAATTCCCCTGGTGTTGCGGTTGTTCATGGGCGGCGGTAGTCACTTACCATCAGGTAAGCCACATGCTCGTTTGCCCCCTCTCCTATAAAAAAAAAATCACCTGTTACAGTGTAGGTAGTAGATAATCTCACTTTAACTTATTATACAAAACAATAACTTAGCTCCTAGATTGACAAATCTTGTCAGACTTTCATCATGTTAACACTTGGGCCCAAGAATGAATGGGGACGTCTCCTTCTCCTTTGTACTGCAATTGCTACAGTAAATTACACTAACATTTGACGACATTTGTCTTTTGATACAAAACTCTCATCCATAAAACAATTGCTGAGTTTAACACCAAAGGCTACAGTTATAAAGTCTGAAATATTTGTCATTAAAGCCAGTTACAACTTTTTTTTGTAATAATAGCCATACTATTTCTGGAACTATTGAAGCTACATTATTTTAAGTTCCATGATATGAAACTACTCGAAAACCTGAACATACTAAGCTTTGGTAGCGTATAACAGCTTAAGAATTTCAAAAAAATATGCAGAAAATAAACTCAGCCATTTTTGTTCTTCGCTCGTCCTGTAAAATGATGTTTTGGTTTTTACGACATTTGTTGCTCAAAGGTATTATTGTAATAAAATAATGGCCAAATACTCAAATGCTACTTAATTTTAAGATGTTGTTAAGTTTCCTAGTGTCACATTCACTTTGACTTAAAGTGATAGAGTAATCGTTTCATACACAACATTTTCTTAAAACTTTTACATATTATGTATAAAACCTAAATCAAAATATTTTCCGTGGGGTGTTTGAAATTGATTATATTTTTTGTTTCTTTAATTTGTCAGTGATATCAGATATTTTAACCTCATAAATTGACGCTAAAAGGGAAATTTATAAAACTTCTGTTTAGTTTACTTGATAGCATTCGCAAGTACTGTATTAATCTAAAAATATTCTCTGCTAGCTATTTAGGTGTATTCATTGTGTGTGAATTCATAGCTCAAGGTCGCTCAGCGAGCTATGGAGAGGGCTATGCTCGGAGTTTCTCTGCGTGATAAACTCAGAAATGAGGATATCCGCAGTAGAACTAGAGTGACCGACATAGCCCAACGGATTAGTAAGCTGAAGTGGCAATGGGCCGGCCATATAGCTCGAAGAACCGACAACCGATGGGGAAGAAAGGTTCTCGAGTGGCAGCCTCGTACCGGCAGGCGAAGTGTAGGGCGTCCCCCCACTAGATGGAGTGACGACCTGGTAAGATATGCAGGAAGTCGATGGATGCAGGTGGCTCAGGACCGTGCTTTGTGGCATTCTTTGGGGGAGGCCTATGTTCAGCAGTGGACTTGTGAAGGGCTGTAATGATGATGATGATGATTGTGTGAAATAAGCGGTTGATAAATATCAACAGGTTTTAAAAGTACTGTTATGAGCTAATCAGCGCTTGGGACGTGAATACGTCCTTAATATAATGGATTTCCGCGAAGTAACGCCTGATTCTATTAATTAACAGAGAAAGATAATCAAGCATTAAAAAGATACGCATAATTAAAGGATGCTGTAAAATAAATACAAAAATGAAATAAAAACAGCAGATGAACCATATTTTTAAATAATTAAAAATTAAAAATTTTGTACAGTCGACTTCAATATAAGTTATTAAGAATAATTCAAAAACTATTGATCTGACCTTGATCAAATTCATGTGGGACCACACGAGAACTATCAGCTTTCATATAAAAAAAGAATAATCGAAATCGATTCACCCAGTAAAAAGGTATGAGGTAACACACATTAAAAAAAAAACAAAAAAAATACAGTCGAATTGAGTACCGTCTCCTTTTTGGAAGTCGGCTGAAAAAGAACATTACCTAACAAAGTACTACCATAGTTTGTAAGTGAAGAACATGGCAGACGCCGATTGATTGATCATTGTGTGGTGACGGCAGCTGGACAGTAATCGGTAGTAAGTAGTTGTGTACATTGTTACGTACTGGTTCGATCATTTTCCACTTAGAATATAATATTAATTTAATTAAACCTAAAGTAATGTTACCTGTTAAAAACTGGAAGTATAAAATGATTTGGAGAGAGCGTGATACTGAACAAAGAACTATCATGATTTTTGTCATCCCCGATTCCATAAAATAGATTTTCCTGTAGAATTCATATAATGCTCTGATAAAATGTCTTGTAATATATATCATAAAATGTTATGGAAGAAAATGTATGATGACACTGAATGTACAATTTGTGTAGCCGTCGCACGAAGTTATAATGTTAGGAAGATAAAGAACAGACATTACGTAATTGGTTGGAATCAACATGTAAGCGGGGCTCACAGGAGGGCTCATTTGTACTTTCAAGATTGGGTGAAATGTGGTAAACCAACTTAAGGTGATATATACAATGATATGAGTGAATCGAGGTGCACTTTTAAGTTTAAATGAAAATGGTATTAGGGTAATGAATCACAGATAAGAATGGAACATTACAGTTCTTTAGTACAACGAATAAGTTGGATCATACATAGAATCTTCCGGTGAATGATGCGGCGGGTGTACATGAACCCAGCAGGATAACCAATTCATTTGAGAAATATTTCAGAGTGGTGGCGCCCTTAGGACATGCGTCGTCACAGATGCAAGCTGCGGAGGGCCTAGGGTTTCTGCAAAGGACGTCGCTTCCGTCATTAAAAACATAGTGCCAGGAAAATCTTCGGGACACGATAATCTCAGCATCGAGCACTTGCAATATTCTGGAGTGCTTTCTTTGGCTTTTAACTACTGTGTTGCTCATGGCTATCTCCCTGAAAACTTATTACAAAATAACGAACAAATATTTTTATTCAACTGAATGGGTTCTGGTTTCACCTTTTAATTTTAATCAAACCCTTCACACATAACCTTTTGCAAAGAACCACCAGTCTAAGCAATGTTAATGACGCAGGAACAATCACAAACGCAAACAGACCAGAAAAGCAACAATTTGTGTTTTGCACAATAGCTTTCTGTTTAATTTGCACATTCTAAGTAGTGTGCAAATTTGATTGAATATAATTTAAATAACGACCATAAGTTAAATTACTCGTATATTCTATCAAGTTGCTTCGCACTGCGGAGCCTGATAACAAACTGGTTCCCAGAGCTCGCTCGCTCAGTGTGATACAGTCGAGAGTTATTGATCATCGAGTTTTACCCATGACAACATCTATTGCTATCATGTATTGTTAAAAACATTTCCTTATTTACTGATAATATAATACTAAAAAAAAAGATATTGCAATCTTTTACACTTGTCAGTAATTATTATATACCTAATTTATTAGTCTTTGACGAATGAATAGATAACCTATGATGATTGATGTTATGTTAGTATCGTTTCAATCTAGCCAACGCCAAAACATGTGATTGCATGGCCGGTTTCACAAGGTATAGCTGAATGCTCGTCACCTCGACAGCGAGTATAGACGCACTGCAATAGCCCGACGTTGACATTTTAACGCGGTTTTCCTCTACCTAATTTTAGCATATTATAATAATCCAAATTAGTAATTAATTTAAACATAACCATTATGACGTTAAACAAGTGAATGAACGAAAATATATTACTATGTACAATGTTAGTTTTAATCTCACAAATAAATAAAGTGATAATGGCGCTGTCTTCTTACAAATTCTACATAATGAGGTGACAAAGTTCGAGGTCTCAGTGATAAGTTCTACAAATCGAAATATTATAATATAGAAACATTAAACGATGAAGTAATTTGTGCGGTCAGGCGCGAGTGCAACACAGTGCCGGTATTGCCCGTAGTGGAATAAATGTGATATTTTCCTTTTTGTGAATAACAACTTGAATTCCAGTGCCTCTGTGATACTGACTGCGAGATACCGGACCAGCACTGTTCGGTTGAGTATTTATATTGTATTATACACCAATAAGATAACGTCATGTCGTGCAAGTTGCTTTCAGATAACCTATAGTATCTACTAACTTATAACCGTGGTAATCGGATTTTGTTAAGTAAGTAAAATAAATAAAAGAGCTAATTCTGTGATTAGAACTTTTTTTAAGGTTGTAAACAGTGACTGTAGTTGTACGTTATTTTTTACATTGAAATAAACAAATCGACCAACATTCATCTTTTAAAAGACTTCGTAAAATGTTATTACTAAAACTAAATGTTATTACTAGAGCTGTCACTAAAAACGAAATAATAACATCCATGTCTTCGAAGTGAATTAACTTGTAATTACAGAGTAAAAACATTTCACGGTCAAGACCAAGCCAATGTTGTTGAGGCAAAACAAGAGCTTTCTAATTGCATTACTTAAGTGCGGCTTAGTTTAGTTAAAATTTCCTTGAAATATTCATTAAGAATTTCCTCGTGGTTTGCCTTTTTATTAATTTTTCGTACGCTTGATGGTTCAGCATTTAAAACTGCGGCTTGTAGTAACATTAATGCCAATGATAATGTTTAAACTTTAGATACTGGTTTTGAAGGTGATGCCCGCAAGTTGTTGCTTCGAGGTATCAAAAATGACAATATAAAGTAAATAAATATAAGGTTCATAATAATATGGTAAGATTATTAATGAAAATAAAACTTTAATAACGGGCAGGGTATGAGCACCAGCTGGGCGATGCTACGACGATGTCTGCCGACAATGTGCGCCGCGCTGTGCGTCGCGCTGCTCTTCGCCGCAAAGCCGAGCCGCGCCTACCAAGAAGACAACGACATAGATCTCAACCCGTCAGGTAACACTTTTCCATTGAAAAAACTCAGTCATTCAAGCTCCGTGTCAAAGGAAACGAGTCATCTGCGCAGGACAGGACTGTAGCACCCTAATGTACGCGCGAGTACGAGAGCACTCTTTATACTTAGAGATCCGACGCAAACCCAACAACTTTACAAACATTCCAAGGCGCGGGAGTGAAGCACCGCGCACTTACTGACTCCAGTCTGCCACTGCGAATTTATTTATTTATTTAATCTTTCATGCACAAAGTTGTACATATAGCGGACTTAATGCCATAGGGCATTCTCTCCCAGTCAACCATTAGGCTAAACAGAGATATACAAACAAGAGGCGGTGCAGCAGTAATCAAAATAGAAAGCGCTAAAAAATATTGTATATTCATATAAATATACATATAAACACACATACATAGACATATATACTTAAATACACACACTAGATACATATATAAATACATACATACACATATACATGCATACACCACATATATACACAATACATATAAATATTATCTATGTCGGAACAAATATGAAATATACATATGTATACGAAAATAAGAGCTGTGTTAGTTCAAACTTGCAACGTTTTTTTCACATGCTTACGGACTTAATTTTTAAAAACAAACTTGTTGGAAGCTTTTTTAATGTCAAGAGGGATGTCGTTCCAGAGTCTGATGGCCGTGAGGGCGAAATATTGAGATAAATAACCAGTACGGTGTAAAGGAGGGAGCAATTTAAGATTAGCCGATGAACGGAGAGAGCGATTATGAGAATCTCCCAGGTATTGAAATTTGGATTTCAGATACTCGGGAGCACATGGATCGTTCAGAATTGTGAAAAGGGTGCAGAGTATTCGGACATATCTGCGCTGACGGATAAACAGCCAATTTAGCTGAGCACGAAAAGAACATACATGGTCATATTTACGGAGATTGATATATATATAATTAGATATATATGTATATATATATACTAGTTTTTTACCCGCGGCTTCGCTCGTGTAGGCTTCACTTTAGACACATTATTAATATCATTCCGTGCCAAAGTTAGCAAAATTGGATCACTTGTAGAGACACCTCGGTATCTGTGTCTATATCGGACGTAAATGATTGAAATTTGGCAATATAATATGCTACAGAATCACATGAGTTTATCAGAATTGCATTAATAACATACGTTTAACGACACTTTTTTTATATCAGACATATCTTCCAATGTGGCTTTATGAAGGATAAATTGCACTGGAATCAGAAATGCGTTATTTACATAATATTCATAATAGCTGTGCCCGCGGCGTAGCTCGCGTATATAGGTTTTACTTAAAGAATTTGACATTTAGGTAAGAGTATATTAAACGATTTATATCATTACTGTATGAATAAGTGGTAACAAAATAAATCGTTATGCTCAAAGTTCTGAGTCGTTTGTGATAGAACTTCTGGGTAAACGACGTTAGAAGTAGACAGCCGGGGCGTACAGAAAAATGTTACGGGAGCTACTAACGCGGGAAAAAGCAACATAGAGTTGGCCATGTGCAAAACAGTCAGTACTGAGGTCCACTCCTGCAACGCGTAAAGTTTGACCTTGCGCTTTATTTACGGTCATCGGTCATCGCATAACACACGCTGACTGGGAAGTGGGAACAGAACACGCTTAAAACTGAAAGGAAAGTTATTTGATATAAGTTAGATTCTTGGTATAAAACAACGTCATGACATTTTGTTTTTGTTGCAATTTTGCTACGTTTCGCTTGGGCGTACGTATCTTTTCTCTGGTTTCTGTTTCTGATGATGTTTGTGCTGTTAGCCTACACCCTACACGGCTCTTTTAGCTTAAGTGGACTCGTTAACGTAAATTACTTCAGTGAGTCTCAATACGATTCACCGGTGAAAAATACTCGTATTAACACTCAATTCAGAAAAAGTTATAATTTGTACAACGCCATTTATTACGTTCTTTGTGAGAAGACATCCTTTTTTATAATTTAAGGAAAACATGTTTTTTGTTTACTGTGTTTTAAGTTTTTTTTTTTTTTATCGTAGAGGGGCAAACGAGCATGCGGCTCACCTGATGGTAAGTTACTACCGCCGCCCATGAACAACCGCAACACCAGGGGAATTGCAGATGCGTTGCCGGCCTTTTAAAAAGGAGTAGGCTCTTTTCTTGAAGGTCCCTAAGTCGTATCGGTCCGGAAAAATCGCTGGTGGTAAACTATTCCACAAGGAAGTTGTGCGAGGAAGAAAACATCTTCTAAATCGCACAGTGGTGGACCGCCAATCATCCAGATGGTGTGGATGGTATCGGGAGTTCTGCCGCGATGTGCGTTCGTGAAATTTGGCGGCTGGGATTAATCCGAACAATTCCTCAGAGCACTCCCCATGATAAATGCGAAAGAAAATGCTAAGAGATGCAACATCTCTTCGCAGTGCCAATGAGTCGAGCTGATCGGAAAGGACTCGGTCGTCGAAGATTCGAGCCGCTCTGCGCTGGATGCGGTCAAGTGGAAGAAGCTGGCACTGGGGAGCCCCAGCCCAGAGATGGGAACAGTATTCCATGTGAGGCCGAACCTGCGCCTTGTAAAGTTGCAGGCGTTGAGCCGGCATGAAATACTGTCCCGCTCTGCTGAGCACGCCAAGCTTTTTAGAGGCCAATTTGGCCTTTTCTTCCAAGTGACCACGAAACTGCACGCTACTCGATATGTTGACGCCAAGGATTCCGATACTGACTGAGGCAACAAGGGGAGTACCTTGAAACTGAGGAGATACGACAAAGGGGTTCTTTTTAGCGGTAAACGCGCAAGCTTGTGTCTTCTGAGGATTAAACTGGACTAGATTTAGTCGCCCCCAATCCGAGACTTTGTCCAGCAAAGACTCGACTTCAGACACAAGTTTATTCCGGTACTCGGTGACGTTTTCCCGAGAAATATTGGCACGTCCGGTGTAGAGAGCATCACCAGTGCTGTCATCCGCATAGCAATGAATGCTACCGGCTTGCAACATATCATTGATATGCAGAAGAAACAGCGTTGGTGATAGCACGCAGCCTTGTGGAACACCAGCGTTAATAGGCTTGTAGTCGGAGCATGCACCGTCTACAACGACCTTGATGCTCCGATCTGCAAGAAAGCTGGTGATCCAATTGCATAATTTCTCGGGAAGCCCATAGGAAGGGAGCTTCGAAAGAAGCGCTTTGTGCCAAACCCGATCGAAGGCCTTCGCAATGTCCAAACTAACGGCCAATGCCTCCCCCTTGGACTCTACTGCCAACGCCCATCTATGAGTTAAGTAGACCAGAAGATCACCAGCTGATCGACCCCGACGAAAACCGTACTGGCGGTCACTAATCAGCTGGTGATCCTCAAGGTACCGCATGAGGTGGCAGTTTACAACGGATTCCATTATTTTGGAGAACAAGGGGGTGATGGCGATATGCCTGTAGTTGGATGGGTCTGAGCGGTCGCCTTTTTTAGGGATCGGGTGGACAAAAGCTGTCTTACATGATTTCGGGACTACGCCTAGGGAGTAGGAGTACCGGAAAAGACGCGTTAGAACCGGTGCCAACTCCGGAGCACACGTCCTCAGCACAATTGGGGGGATTCCGTCAGGCCCACTCGACTTGTGGATGTCAAGGGAGAGGAGTGCTCTGCGAACCGAGCGCTGTGAGAACCGCACATCCGGCATGGAGCACTCACACCGCGGGATGGTCGGCGGTGTGTTCCCCCCGTCATCAACAGTCGAGTTGGACGCAAAAAGGGAGCCTAAAAGGTCGGCCTTCTCTTTTGCGTCGTGGGCCAGTGAGTCGTCCTCCCTGTGCAGAGATGGTAGTGATGGCTTACAGAAATTCCCTTGGACAGCCTTGGCGAGAGACCAGAATGCACGGGTTCCCGAAGGAAGACGAACTAGTTTCTCGCCAATTCTGCCTATGTGCTCTGACTTTGCCTTGGCAATAACTCTTTTGAAGGACCTGGAGGCGAAGTTATACTTCTTTTTAAGTGTGCTGGTGTTTACATCCCGAGTCACCGAAGCTGCAGCCCAGGCTTGATAACACTCCTGCTTACTGCGTAATGCAGTCTTACAGGAGCGACCAAACCAAGGCTGAGATCTGCCTCCGATGGGTACCACAGATGATGGAATAAATAGAAAAAAAAAATCCATTCCCTGTAGCACCACATCAATATATTATAATAGAACGTTTTTTTACACACGAATCATTTTATTACTATTTCTGAGTTGTTTGATTGTGATAAAGGCGCCATAAAACGCCTGTAAACACATCGAACCTACATTTCAAAATAATAATCATAACTTTCGATAGAATTAACCAATTTTAATAAAAGAAAGTTATAGGCAGTTTTTAACAACGTTTAATACCGAACCTTTAACACATGAAAGTAAATAGTGAAACTTATCTATTTCGTCGAAATCTCAATTGTGGATAAGTGATACAAAAGTATCGCTTTAATAAAAGAAATATAATGATGTTATTTATCCTATATATTTATTAGAAAACCATTACAGAAATATTAACACCTTATTACAAAATGAAATTTAGTCTTTTAGCTTTTTTCTTTCCTGGCCTGTGGAGTTATTCAAATAAGTTTTGAGGCGTTTCAGAGAAAAGAAAGTCCTCTCAGGAGTACATGTAGAAACAGGCAGTGTCGCCAAGATCTTTAAAAGCTTGTGAATGTTTGGAAATAAGGCCTGGTTGCATTCTCCGAGAGCTTCATTTTATGCACCACATGTCTAAATTAGCTTTTACAATGTCCCATTCCAAATATTTTTTATAGAGCTCAAAGTAGTTTTCGTGATAATTTTGATTAATTTGTTCTCTGCAACACACAGTCGGAATTAAAATGTTGAGAGATGATAATGTGGGTTTATGATTTTTGAATCTCGACTGAAGCTGATCAATGAAATCATACAAAAGTGGAATCATTATAGTAATTCTAAAATAAGTTTCAGAATCTTTTGTGTTGTAGTTTGCCCTATGCTCTTGGCGTGACGTTATTCGCGGAATTTTCATTTCCTCGTTTACAGTACTGAGCAAATTCTGTGCATTCTTGAAAAGTTCAGGAAATTTTGAATCAATATTTTGGCGAACATCTTCAATAGTCTTTATAATTAAATCGACATGCTGTAAAGCTGCTGCCAAATGCATAGAGGAGATTGAAGTATTTTGCATAGTGTCAGTATGTACGGGAACAACATTCTTAAGCAACATAAGCTTATAACAAATCACTTGAATGACTGATCTCAGAAAAGAATTAGCCTTTGACGATGTTTCAGAATCCATGTCAGTGTTTAAGTCGTCTAGTGTATCAACAATAGCTTTATAAATTTCTTTAAATCTTAACAACTCATCATGATTTTCTACCCGGCGGGTCTCGCACATTGCCGTAAGGTTTTTCCATTGTGTTTCAGGGAAGATTTTTCAATATTATCTTTTAAACACTTGGTTCGTTTTGTCGAGGACTTGATGAAATTTCCAACCGATTTTATAATTCCAGCAGTATTACAAATAGGCTTAACCTGGCAATTATGACCCAGAGCTAAATTCAATGAATGTGAGCTACAATGAACGTATAAAGCTTCTGGATGTGAATACTGCATTACTGCCTGCACACCTTTAAAACTTCCTTTCATCGAAGAAGCTCCATCATATCCTTGTCCGACTAAATATTCGCAATCCTCTCCCAAAGATTTTAATTCAGATAAAATTGCATTAGCTATATATAATTAATAGAATCGGGCGTTACTTTGCGGAAGTCCATTATATTAATGTTAACAAAAAATTACTTTGCGTACATCCGCACGATAAAATAAAATGATGTCTTACCTAGTTTGAAGAGCACCTCCCGCCCTTACTAATACTCTAGTAATACTCACCGTAGAGTCTCTATCACCTGAGGATGCCTCGTGTAGAGGCGAAACACATGTCGTATTGTCGTCAGTGGTGTGTCTTACCTAGTGTAGTGGTGTTGGGATACAATGTATTGTCGTCAGTGGTGTGTCTTTCCTAGTGTAGTGGTGTTGGGAGTAGTGGTGCTGGAATTAGTGGTGACGGGGAAAGTGCACGCAATTGAGGGAGGGCGGGAGGTGCTCTTCAAACTAGGTAAGACACATCATTTTATTTTATCGAGCGGAAGTAATTTTTTGTTAACTTTAATTAGCTAAATATCTTCCTTTTGTATTCTCAACTTTTTTTTATAGAATAAGGGTGACAAACGAGCATACAGCCCACCTGATGGTAAGTGGTTGATGTGCCCATAGACATCTTCATCTATCCTCAATAAAGACTCAAGATGCAGATGCGTTGTCACCCGTGAGGACTAAGATGGACTGCCTCTTTTCCAGTAAAATGGGTCTCCCCTTCTCTACACTCACCATACGAAACACAGCAGCATTAAGCTGCTATTTTACGCTGGTATTCTGTAAGAGCATGGTCCTTCCCCGGTCGAGCCGACCCATTCGTGCTACAACTATATTATTAATATAGCTGCAGCATGACTCTGCCACGTACAAAAAACTGTTACAAAAGTTAAAAATCTTCACGCAAGATCAACCCATTATCTTTTGGCTCGGCATATGTTAGACAAATGGACATCTCTTCACTCTCACAATTTTTTTCTGGATAATTTCACCACAAATAGCAATAAGTTCATTTTGTATGGTCGGGCTTAGTTAGGTAGCGTTCAACGTCATATTTTCTGTGTGCTTTATTATATTTCAGTCTCCACATCTGCTTCTCATCCGTAAGATAGCACGAAAGTTTCCATCATTTGTTTCTAACCCAGCATCATTGATTTTTTTTTAAAACATTACAGCCACACTAGGATTTTCTCCTATATCATGGAGGCAGTTTACAAACATATTTTGCACGAGGATAAACATCCAGACCCGGAACAATTATTTGTAGGCCATACAAATACTTGTTCCGTGCGGGATTCGAACCCGCGACCCTAAGCGCAACAACTCATTAGGAGCCGACATATTGAACCTGAGTCGCACGTACCTCTCAGTGCCAATTCCTGACGTCCACATAATTTAATTGTTCCAATAATCGGAATGAGCCGTTTCCGATTTTCAGCTATTTGCGCTAGGTATCCGCTATCAATCTGACTTATTATATTTGGTTGAGATTTATTATACACCTTCATAAAATTATCAGCCAATAATACAGAAGATATGTGGTACTAGCTTTTACTGTGATGTTTGAAATCATGTACAGCATCTTTCCATTTAGTGAGCGGCTGAGTAACTAAGGATTTCAACTGCTGATGAGAGCCTTTACCTGCACAATCTCTGGCAAATAATACACAATATTTGCATAAAGCACCTTGTTGCCCTATACTCGTGTAAACTAACCAAGAGAACCGTTCAAACCATTGCATTTGAAATATTAGCTTTCTTTTATCATCACCTACTGGAAACTTGAATGTCTTGTCTGGCATCCAAGGATATTTCAAGAAGCAGTATCACTGTCGAACACACTTGAACACTGATTTTCAGTAGAGCCTTCACTACCAGTACCAGGTTTAGATTTTTTAAATGAATATTTCAATAATGTATTTTCTTGCGTCTTTTTTGCCATTTCAAATGTTGAACCGATTTATAACAATTAGCCAGCCAAGTATTAATTCCATTTGTACACAAATATTTACTTCGATGAAGATTTATAAGAAAATGAATACGAGAAGTTAGTCTACTTATAGACATCAAATCCTTTTAATTTTAATTACAAAAATTATAACACCACTTACTTTAAAACTAATTCATAACACTTTTATTTCACACACTGCACTATTACTTCGCTTAGTATCGCCTTAGTCGCATTGGATCACTTTCCAAGACAGAATTGCCTCTCCGTTTTTTTTTGCGCCCAGAAGTAATGAAAAGGGTTACCCTCCGGGAAGCGGGGGAGGGAGGTGGTAAATGCTCTAAGCGTACCACGCAGCCGGCTGTGCGGTTATGTGGGACACACTGTGAAACCTAAGTGCTTACCCACTAAACACCACCTTTCTGTCGAATAGGAAGCGCCCCCTTTAGGGAAAAGGGGGCGCAGTGCCTCTCCGTGCTCGACGGCTCGCTTATATATTCCGCAGACGCGGCGCAACGAAACATCGAGAATAACCCGGGACGAGTTATTATTTTATACGAGACGGGTTATTCTAATATTCCCGAAATACAGTTCAAGCACGTCCCCGAAGTTGCCTTGCTTGTGTAGTTGGTAAAGCACGTAGTTTCGCCGTTCCCTAATAGATGTCGCTGCGCCGCTATTTAAGTATCGTCGTGCGAATAACAAGCGAGCATAAAGTCATACATAATAAAAATAACAGTAGGTAGAGAATTTTGTTTGTAGTGATTAGCTATTATGTTGTGTAATATTAACTTTTTATTTGGGGGGGGGGGGATCAATCCCCCTTGATCCCCTCCCCTGCTACGGCCTCGATGACGGCCTTACATCACCCACTGAGGGGTGCCTGCTCACCCGGTTTTAATCTTAAATGTTGCAACCTCCATGACCTATAAAGTTCATCGAATCTATTTAATTCACAGGTAAATTATTGATTTCAATAATATTTAACACTGTTTCTTCAAACTTTGCGCGGACACTTTCTAATTCGGAATAATCTGCCAAGAAATTTTGAATTTGTGTGGAATCATTCATTTGGGATTTCGCAAGATCGAAAACCTTTTGTAATTTAGCAAATAAGTATTCCTTTTTAAAAATAAGTGTTTTTTTTTTTATAGGATAGGGTGACAAACGAGCACACAGTCCACCTGATGGTAAGTGGTTGCTGTGCCCCAGTAGACATCTACATCTATCCTCGTTTGCGAATCAAAATACAGATGCGTTGTCACACGTGAAGACCAAGATGGAATTCCTCTTTTCCAGTAAAAAGGGTTTCGAAGGGGAAAAGGAAAGGGGAAAAGGGGAAGGACCACGCTCTCACAGAATATCAGCGTAAAATAGCAGTTTAATGCTGCTGTGTTTCGTATGGTGAGTGTAGAGAACCGGAGACCCTTTTTACTGGAAAAGAGGCATTCCATCTTCGTCCTCACGGGTGACAACGCATCTGCATTTTGATTCGCAAACGAGGATAGATGTAGATGTCTATGGGCCACAGCAACCACTTACCATCAGGTGGGCTGTGTGCTCGTTTGTCACCCTATACTATAAAAAAAAATTAAATGAATGAAATTTTACTCAAGTATATGATTTCCACGGAACGCTAATTAAGGGTAGAAAGTTATTATTCGAAGATCACTAATTCGAATATATGCGGCTCGAAGGCCAGAAATGTGGCTGATTGGGATTATTTTATTAGATATAGTGGACTGTATTGAGATTCTAAATCCCCTGAAACGTTCAGTTACCGCAGTCACAAAACTACACCAGAAACAGCAACAAACTACTCACGGTCTTACTAGCCAGCCTCCCAAGTTCAGCAAACGTTGACAGCTCCTGGTAGCTTCTTCTACATGGTAGAATATACTAGCGATCAGAATGTACACGGTACACTCTGGAGTAGTCCCTTTTTAAAGTTTTTGGAGAGATATTCACATCACGTTAACACAAAGAGAATGTTATGGCTTCTCCCGCTTCCTACCCTCTTCTTCGTTTTTTAACCCCACAGATTATTACAACACATGTTACGTCACAATGTTGCCACAGGTGTAAGGGGCGCTCAGATCGCAGCAGATCATTGTGCCTCGGTATAAATTTTGTGAGTTGCGGTTTATTACTGAACAGATGTTACACATCAAAAATAATCCCTCTGTTTTTCTTGCTGGTTTTTACCAGATTACCAGGTAGATAAAATATTCTTTTCTATTCTTTCAGACCCTATTCCCGAGAGGTGCAAGAGAGAAGACGGCCGTGAAGGCATATGCGTCCCTGATGACCAATGTTACGCGAACTTTACGCTAGCCATTGGTGGCGACATACAGGGAAGCGAACTCAGGTACCGCCGCCCTATATACAGTTCACTCTTTTGTTATCACGATTGTAGTATGTCGATTGAAGTACCAGCCGCATGTATTCAAGGCGACTGCTACTGTAATCGTCTATCCACGTGCTAAGCGTAACGATTATGGAAAATTAGAATAAGATTATGGAAGATATGGATAAGGATATCCTCCCTTAAACGAGAGAGGCCCAAGTGACTTTCACGGATGAAGAAGATGAAGATAAAGAATGTGTAAATTATCTACACAAATAAGTAAAATTGAAGTGTCTGTTTGTAATGTCAAAATAACAACTGTTTAGTTAATGCATATAAAAGTATATTCGGTACTTATAACAAAAATAAACAATTTTTAAAATTTTTGTGCGTGTGTCTGTTTGTTCCGGTTAATCTCCGAAATGGTTGGACCGCTTTTGATGGAACTTTTGCTGGCAGATAGCTAATGTTATAAGGACTAACTTAGGCTACTTTTATTTTAGAAAAGGAATTAGGATTCCTCGCAAAATAATTAAAACCCATGAAATACAATCGTAATAAATTCCGCGCGGATGAAGTTGCGGGGAACAGCGAGTACAACATAAAACTTAATAAAATCCACTGGGGATTTTTGAGTTTAGCGCTTTCAATTAGGCAGCTGCCGAATTTTATACTATGACGTAGTAGAGATAATATAATAATTTTTAATTTTTAAATAATAATTTTTCAACAGTGGTAGAGCCACGCGGCAGCTTTTGCTGTCGCACGCATGGGCCGGCTCGAACCGGGGTGGTACCACGACCTCACAGAATACCAGCGTGAAGTAGAGGTTTACCTCTGCGTTTCGCTTGGTGAGTGCAGGTGGCCGGAGGCCCTTTTTACTGGAAATGAGGCATTCCATCTTAGTCCTCACGGGTGGCAACGCATCTGCATTTTGATTCGCAAACGAGGATAGATGTAGATGTCTATGGGCCGCAGCAACCACTTACCATCAGGTGGACTGTGTGCTCGTTTGTCACCCTTATCCTATTAAAAAAAAAATAATTTTGATATGCTACTCGTATGCAGAAGAGTCATCACTATTATGATCATTGAGTGTCTCGTTGGTCTAGTAGTTGTAATAGCGGTTGCTGATTTTTAGAACGGTTGTAAGGTCCTGGGTTCAAATTACAGATCGAGTCAAAATCAGATATTGCATGTCTTAAGCGCAAAGCGCGGAGGTATATTCTACTAGTGCCTAAAAATCAAGATTCCAACGTTATGTTACATAAAATCGTATTTAACAATCATATTGTACATATAAATTTTATAAAAAGCACATTGTCAGTAAGATAAATGATTGTTGTATTAATATTTTTTTAAATCAATTAATTGCTATGTTTACATATAAAAAGTGGTTTTAGTGGCTTATGGTGTAGATTTATCAAGTCCGTATAGAGTGGTAAACATGACAACTTTTGAAAATGTCAATTGTTTAACTCAATCTATTTTTTTAATCTCTTCATCTATCATGTGGGAAGCCATGGCATGTAAATAGCAGTTTAATTTTCTTTTGTTTAGTTATAATTAATTTTTTTCGGCGTAGAAATCCGGAAATTTGCCGGTTATTTAGCAGCCTTGTAATAATTTATTTTACGAAATAGACTGCCTCACTCACTCACTTCGGCGTCAACTGCCGTCGTGAGCGGATACTGTGTCGGTTGTTTGCAGCGGCTCAAAAACATCGCTGTACAATAACAAAATATTCGAAAAACCAAATTTGATACATACTTGATTATTATAATAATCAGAGATTTTTATTACAATATTTTAAAAGCTCAGAATAACTAATAGTAGTACGTACTAAAATTATGTAGAACATTGATCATAAGTAAAAAAACTAGATACACAATCCCATGCAAAAGTTATCTAAAAACTGTCGCCAATCGTCTTGACGTAATTCTAGTTCGGTAAGGACATTTTTGTGTTTTGTGTTTTTTATTAGTGATCAATGGCAAAAAACGGCACGGCCCCAGGCGAGGATGGAATTACAGCGAAGCTTCTGAAAGCGGGTGGAAAACCGGTACTTGAAGTCCTTCAGAAGCTCTTTAATTCCGTCCTCCATGGCACTACACCGGAGGCGTGAAGCAAAAGTGCGGTGGTTTTATTCTTCAAGAAAGGTGACAACGCTCTCTTGAAGAACTACAGACCGATTTCCCTTCTGAGCCGCGTCTACGTGTTGTTTTCGAGAGTCATTACGAATCGTCTCGCGCGCAGACTTGACGACTTCCAGCCTCCCGAACAAGCCGGTTTCCGAAAGGGCTTTAGCACCATAGACCACATACATACCCTTCGGCAAATTGTACAGAAGTCCCAGGAGTACAATTTGCCACTATGTCTGGTGTATGTGGACTATGAGAATTTTGAATTTTGTTTCCGTCGAAATTTGGGCGGTGCTGCAGTCCCTTCAGCGGTGCCAAGTTGACTATCGGTATATCGAAGTGCTAAAGTATTTGTACAGGAGAGCTACGATGGCTATTCAAGTACAGAATCAAAGTACGAAACCTATCCAATTGCAGAGAGGTGTAAGACAGGGTGACGTGAAGCTTCTGAACTGGAAAGGATACGGTATTAACATCAATGGCGAGTACATCACTCACCTTCGATTTGCTGACGATATAGTCCTTATAGCAGAATCGCTGGAGGACCTAAGCACCATGCTCAATGACCTCAATAGTGTCTCCCAAACAATAGGTCTTAGGATGAACATGGACAAAACAAAGATCATGTTTAATGTCCATGTCACATCTATGCCGGTAGTTGTTGGGAGCACTAAGCTCGAAGTTGTTGACGAGTATGTTTACCTGGGACAAATAGTCCGACTAGGTAAGTTCAACTTCGACCGAGATGTCAATCGACGGATTCAACTCGGTTGGGCAGCGTCAGCGTCAAAACTTGAAAACAAGACTGTACAACCAGTACGTGTTCCCAGTGATGACCTATGGTACTGAGACGTGGTCCGTCACTGCTGGCCTTATGAGGAAGCTCAAGGTCGCTCAGCGAGCTATGGAGAGGGCTATGCTCGGAGTTTCTCTGCGTGATAAACTTAGAAATGAGGATATCCGCAGTAGCACCAGAGTGACCGACATAGCCCAAAGGATTAGTAGAAGCGGCAATGGGCCGGCCATGTAGCTCGAAGAACCGACAACCGTTGGGGAAAAAAGGTTTTCGAGTGGCGGCCTCGTACCAGCGGACGAAGTGTAGGGTTACCCCCCCCCCCCCCCCTTAGGTGGAGTGACAACCTGGTAAGATATGCAGGAAGTCGATGGACGCAGGTGGCTCAGGGCCGTGCTTTGTGGCATTCCTTGGGGGAGGCCTATGTTCAGCAGTGGATTTGTGAAGGGTTGTAATGATGATGATTTAGAAAACATTAATTTGTCACTTTGTACAAATTTCAGTGATGTTAATGACATGGTTACTTATTTTTGTTCTGTAACAAACATTGTGTTCGATCTGCATGCTCCACTTAAAACCACTCATTTGAGGTCACCACCTCATCCTTAGATTACGGATACAGTACCTAAAATGATCAAAATTCGCGACGACCACCATGCTAAATACAAAAAATAACATATTTACAACAGCACTACTACGGCTTTACTTGAGGTAGTCGATGATTTGCTTGCAGGATTCGGTCTAGGATTCAATAAGACTATGCGAGTCATTGATTTTGTCCAAATTAAATTACTGCGACGTGGTATTTGGACCTTGTCTATTATGTAGGAGTCTTCTGTAAAACTAACATAATTTCAGTGTCAGCTACATGTCCCCATAGCAAAATACCATACGACATTATGCTATGGAAATTGCTAAAAAAACTAGTCTAGCTGTTCCAACACTGGTAAGATTTCTAATGTTTTTACAGCATATGCTGCAGAACTAAGTCTGCTTGCTAGTTTTGATATATGGGGGCTCCATTGAAGCTTCGCGTCTAGTGTGATTCCAAGAAAAATGGTGGTATTTACAAGACTCAGTTTCTTCCCATTTAAAATTACATTAGTATTTAATTGTTTGACATTTGGAGTCATTTCATACCACCTCGTACGCATGTTACTACTTTTCTAAATAATGCAGGCCTACTAAAAATGTTATCGCATCGAAAATTACACCTTGCTACTCTGTTATTTGGAATAATTGCATCAAAAACTCCTCGTTGCTTATGTGACAAATTAGTGCGGGTTAGCGAACAATCACAATATCCGAAACGTAAATGTACTAATCTTTGTTATTCCAAAACATGGAAGAATGGCATTTCGCAAGTCCTTCTCGCTGCTGGAACGAGCTGCCGCACCAATGCGTGCTCTAAAAACTATAGGAATATTAAAAAAAAAACTGATATTCATTTTAAAACAAGACCTAAATCCTTCGTAGTTTTAAGAATTTACTCTTTTTACGTACACAATTTAAAGGGCCTCCATTTAATGCTAAAAATTGCGAAATAAGACTCACTGTTTTTAATTTTAGATTTTTTTATACGTGGTAGAGCCATGCTGCAGTATATTAGTAGTATAGTTGTAGCACGAATGGGTCGGCTCGACCGGGGAAGGACCACGCTCTCACAGAATACCAGCGTCAAATAGCAGCTTAATACTGCTGTGTTTGGTATGGTGAGTGTAGAGAACCGGAGACCCTTTTTACTGGAAACGAGGCATTCCATCTTAGTCCTCACGGGTGACAACGCATCTACATTTTGTTTCGCAAACGAGGATAAATGTAGATGTCTATGGGCCACAGCAACCACTTACCGTTATATGGACTGTGCGCTCGTTTGTCATCCTATACTATATAAAAAAAAAGTACCCACCCTATTTTCAGTTCACTCATTGTTTCGTTTCCTTTCGTTGATGGTGTGATTAAATCTCTTGTAGTCTTCAATTAAATCCAAATGTTTATTTTATAAAGATTATACGAAATACTTCATGTAGTTGAGCTGTTGAGCACTACATCATGTAAATGTGTGTGGATGTATAGATACATATGGGTATATATGTGAGTGTATGCTTATGTTTTTTGTATTATTTGCAAATAATAACTCTTATTATGCTGAATCTTTCCCCACTCACTTGTCTGTTGTCGTCCATGTTTTTTCTTTAAGTTTTAGCTTTAGTTAATGTATGACCGTCCGTGAATCCAATATTAGGCTCTATTTGAAAACCAGCGCTGCTGTCATTTAGTACAGAAGCTGTTAGCTGCAATAGGAACGTAATTTGACTTCACGCAAAGCTGCTTTTATTTGCTGATAACATGCTGCTGCTCGAGAATTTTTTAAAAAAGCGAAAGTCGAAAGCTAGACATTAGATTCTAAAGATCATTTGGGCATTCCTCATTCCTCATGTAAGTTTTAATTTGTTTGATGGCATTTATTTAATTTTTATTTACTTTTTGTATTACATTATTATTTGATTTTACTTCATTTTTTTATGTTTGTTGATTATAAGTAATTATGTTTTTTTTTACGGGCCTTTGTTGTCTGTCAATAAATGATTATTATTATTATTATTTGGGGCATCTATATAGTTTACTCATCTGGTTGGGCTGTATAAATATATAATTGTAAATGAAAATGATAAACATACATAAATATCAACAAAATAAAATAAATGCATAAAAAATACATAAATAAATAAAAACCCAACCAGATGGAAGCCCTCGGCAGGGGAGACCAAACGGCCGAGGGTTAGGGGGAAAGGGAAAGAAACCGGCGGACGATGCGGGCGGTATCGAGGAGCACCGCCTTCTGCATTTGAGCTTGGAGCGGTCCGTCACGGAGTCCCAGTCGCCTCAGATGACCCGAGAGGCTGACTGGGATTAACCCGTTCGCAGAAACGACTACAGGTATAATTTCGGCCGGCAGTCCACCCCACATGTCGGTCACCTCGTGAGCCAGGTCCAGATATTTTTTCGCTTATCTGTTTCGGCTTTCACGAGATTCTCGTCATACGGAATGGTAATGTCGACCAAAAATATCCTTGACTGTGCCCGGTCCATCAGCACAATATCAGGCTTATTCGCAAGAATGGTCCTGTCTGTGATGATGGCCCGGTCCCAATAGAGCCTGGCGCGGTCATTTTCGAGCACGGCTTCCGGCATGTACTTATAATAAGGCAGTTTCCGATCCACGAGACCGTATTTCAGAGCGAGCTCCTGGTGTAGAATCCTGGCTACTAGGTTGTGCCTATGCAAGTACTCAGAGTTAGAAAGCGCCGAACAACCGGAGATGACATGCCTAAGTGATTCACCAGGATGGTGACAAGCTCGACAAATGTCGACGGTGCCATCCCTTAGGATGTATCTCCGATAGTTGTTGGTCTTAATAACCTGATCCTGTATTGCACGGACAAAACCCTCGGTTTCCCCGAAGAGGTCACCAAAACGTAGCCAGTGGAGGGAGGCAACTGTATCTACGAAAGGCTCATGTAGAGCCTTGTAGAACCTCCTGTGGAGCTCCTTCTCCTTCCATATGGTCTCCCGGAAATGCTCTGTACTGCCGGATCTTGCCATTGCTCGTTGGCTAAGGATAGAGGGGTAAGTCCTTTATCACAAAAAATATCACAAAAATTATTATTGTTATTATTATTATTATTATTATAGCCGCCTCTTATGACATCAACGTAAGATGGATTCGTTCACACCGCCGCGCCGCCTTGCGGTCAATATTATAATTAAATAGATGAAATAAGTAAATTAAACGCGTAAAATATTTAAAAGAGAATTTGTTTTATTTTATGTGTAGTGTTCGCGTAAATGTAAAAAATCATTATGTTATAATCCGGACTGGAAATAGCAAATAAAATACGCCGGTCAGAAAATCTCAAATAAGTAAATAAAACGCGATAAAATCCGTAAAAATAGTTTTATTCAATTAAGTAGAAGTTAAATAATAAATATTATTGGTTGTTACAGGGACAGCGGTTTTGTACGGTAATTATATTTCACATCTTTTTTAATATTCGTTGTTTAGTAAAATGTGATAAAAACTTGAGAGACAAGACATAACCTTTCTGTTCTCCTCAGAGATTGTGGTAAGAATAAGTGGTGTTGCACGAATGACACCGCACCACCAACGATAACTTCAACTGATACCCCAGGTGAGAAAAATAGAATAAAATTCTATTGTCTTTATTCAGCAGTTTTCTTTATAGAATAATGTTGATAAAAAAGCACCCACTTCAGCTGATGGTAAGTTGATGCTGTGGCCAATAGACACCTACATTTATTATCCTCGATTAAGAACCAAAATGCAGATGCGTTTTGAGGCCAAAGATGGAATGCCTCGTTTCCAGGAAAAAAAGGCTCTTCGATTCTCTACACTCATCATACGAAACACAAAAGCTATTTTACGTTGGTATTCTGTGAGAGCGTGGTGCTACCCCGGTCGAGCCGACCCATTCGTGCTACAAACATAATATAGCTGCAACGTACTACCACGGCTCCACCACGTACAAAATAACCTTTCTCTCTCAAAATAAAGTTTCTAAAAAGGAACTGCGTTAATCGCCAATTGTGTTAGATTGACGTTCTTTGTGCCAAATGTCTCGCAACTTTGTCGCTGTTGCCCGTCGCCAGCCTGTGTTCTTTACATCTGGCGTCAATGAGAAAGTCACACCATCGTGTCTATCTGTGGCCACGTGATGTTTCTGACATTTCCCACAGTCGCCTCATGTAACGCCCTCATAATGGCGTGATGCATATCATTGACATGATGAAAAACTTCTCTAATCTCAACTAGTCAGATCTTCTTATATTATAATGTTTATTAAAATTAAATTACTGTATCTACTTGTATCGTGCTGGAAAATCCAACCAAGAATGTCAAATTTTGAAAGAATTTTTTTTAATGTGTAGAATTCCAGTATATTATAATTATATTTCAAATATCATTGGGCAATGTCGTATTTAAAAAAATATGAATGTTGTGTTCAATTTAAATACGAATTAATTAAATTAATTCATTTTGTGTCGACATAATGTATATTATATTTTTTGTAATGTAAGTAAAATTTTCATTCCATCTTTCTTTCAACAGGATGCGTTAGAGTCTACGAAGAAGAAGAGATTCAATGTCCCTGGTGTGTCGCTTTATATCGGTAAATATTGTGTTACGAGAGTCCGTTGCATGTTGCATTACATATTGCATGTTAATATCCCTGAAGTATGGCATTCCAATGGACATTACTGCGATGTACGGGAAATCAGTCTCTAATTGTAAACTATAAGGATTACTGTCCCCTGTTAAGTTAAAATGTGTGGGTACAAACAAAACGAGTAATAAGCAAGACACAGCCTTACGTCAATATGAAAAAATGTGAGTACATCGAATAAGTAGGGTGAACCCACACAACAAAATTAGATAGCACCAAAAGTTGCAAATAGGAGAAATATTGAACTAAACCAAGTAGCGATTTCTCACTAGAAGATTTATTTACGTTTTGCTGTATCGTGCTAATGTATTGGAAACAATGCAATTTAGCAAAGAGGATAGTAATATATTTGGTAAGTCGGTACACAAAAAGAACACAAAATCACTTTATCATTTTATTACAACGTCAAATAGTAATTCAAATAACAAAAATAACATAAATATTGCATTCTTTGTAATCGGAGTCATCACTTATTTGAGTCTACAATGTTTAGTTCAATATCTTTGGAGATTTTTTTAATAAAGAATGTGATATCACTATGTCACATATATCACAGATGTTACAGAGGTGTTGTCACCTCTAAAGATTAAGATGAAATGCATAGTTACCAGTACAAATGGTGTTTCTCTTCACTCACCATACGTAATGCATTATTCAGTTGTTTCACGTTGGTATTCTGTATAACAAGTGTTACAAGTTTTGAGCCAATTGCTAATGCCAATGCAAGCACAGAACAACCCCCTGTCCTTATCTGCGCTACAGTGGCAGGGCAGATACTTTTGTGCACGATAGAAGTGGAACTGGTTAATCTGAATACTAACAAAGCCTACCAAGATAATACGCTTCTTGAAGCTGGTAGTCAATAATCATTTATTGTTGAAACAATGCAAAAATAGTTTGAAAAAATCCCAAAGTACATGCCCCAGGAGCGTTTCATTTAATTTTGATGATAATCTGACTTTTAAAATATATTATTTACGTGTTTTAAACTTAGTGCTCTATTATTTTAACAAGTAGTGTCACCTACATGGAAAAAAAATTATAATCTTTACCAAAATAAATCGATTACACAAAGTATAATATCGATATTTAGGTCGAGTTTCCTAGGACAAGCAATTTATTTAGCTTAAAAGAAATCTCCAAACATACCTAACTTGTATTTTTAGACTTTTTAATAGCAATAAAACTTACAAAAGTTGAAAATCGTTTCGGTTTCGGTTTAAAGAATTTTATTTCTCATAAGAACATACAATGGTTCACTTATAATGAGATACAAAGTAATTATTATAATGTGATAATATTATCACATATAGTGCTGGAAGCGATATAATCTTAGGTTATTTACTTATACATATTAGGTACCATATATTAAAAAGATTACACTATGCGTACGTATTTCCTAAGTTTACTTTTAAACAATTTCATGTTATTGCAGTTTTTAATATCATCTGGTAACTTATTGAACAGCTGTGCTCCCTCAAACAATAGTGATGTGGCGGCGCTGTCGTCGTGCCATAATTAGTTTTATCCATATTAGTTTTTGCCATAATTATTTCGTGCAGTCATTAGCTGGAGTTTATTTTTTACCTCTTGAATTGTATGTTGTTGCCTTTTTATATAACTATATGTTTCATTGAATAGAATCAGTGGTTATATTTTTTATTAGGTAATATTGTCAATTTTATTAACAAACTACGTGTACTAGGCTATTGATATGAAATACGGAACCATTTGATGTAATTCTGAAACGAATAAAAAAAAAACCGATACATCATTTTCAATAAGATCAACACGCGGACGTCCACGTAAATTTTTTTCCAACACTTTAATTTTTTTTTTAAAGTAGCAATATAAAATGATTTATTTTGGTTACATACATGCGGAATGACATCACAATTATTATAACTAAATGTCCCATTATTTTGAAAATAAGATGGATTAATTAGAGTGTTTTCTTGATATACGGCTACTGATATTATCGTATAAGTGCAATATAGTTATTGTACACGCCCCTAGCTGCCCTGACAAAGGTCGGCCATAATACAGGGGCCCATACAGCTGTAGATTCGACGAACAACTAAGGGTGGGGCCCAACGGCCTATGGAGACTTATTATTATACACAATAGATATCATCATCATCATCATTACAGCCCTTCACAAGTCCACTGCTGAACATAAGCCTCCCCCAAATAATGCCATAAAGCACGGTCCTGAGCCACCTGCATCCGTAGCCAGTTCCGTATGTCATCACTGGCAACACGCACTGGTTGTACAGTCTCGTTTTCAAGTTTTGAGGTATACCTGACGAGAAGATGTGCCGTAATTTCCCGAACGCTGCCCAACCGAGTTGAATCCGTCGATTGACCTCTCGGTCGAAGTTGGACTTACCTAGTCGGACTATTTGTCCCAGGTAAACATATTCGTCAACAACTTCGAGCTTAGTGTTCCCAACAACTACCGGCATAGGTGTGACATGGACATTAAACATGATCTTTGTTTTGTCCATGTTCATCTTAAGACCTATCCGTTGGGAAACACTATTAAGGTCATTGAGCATAGTGCTTAGGTCCTCCAGCGATTCTGCCATAAGGACTATATCGTCGGCAAATCGAAGGTGAGTGATGTACTCGCCATTGATGTTGATACCGTATCCTTTCCAGTCCAGAAGCTTGAAAACATCTTCCAATGCAGCGGTAAAGAGTTTCGGGGATATGACGTCACCCTGTCTTACACCTCTCTGCAATTGGATAGCTTTCGTACTCTGGTTCTGTACTCGGATAGCCATCGTAGCCCTACTGTACAAGCACTTCAACACTTCGATATACCGACAGTCAACTTGGCATCGCTGAAGGCTTTCTCATAGTCCACATACGCCAGACATAGTGGCAAATTGTACTCCTCGGACTTCTGTACAATTTGCCGAAGTCTATGGTGCTAAAGCCTTTTCGGAAACCGGCTTGTTCGGGAGGCTGGAAGTCGTCAAGTCTGCGCGCGAGACGATTCGTAATGACTCTCGAAAACAGCACGTAGACGCGGCTCAGAAGGGAAATCGGTCTGTAGTTCTTCAAGAGAGCATTGTCGCCTTTCTTGAAGAACAAGACCACCGCACTTCTGCTCCACGCCTCCGGTGTAATGTCACCATGGAGGACGGAATTAAAGAACTTCTGAAGGACTTCATGTACCGGTTTTCCACCCGCTTTCAGAAGCTCCGCTGTAATTCCATCCTCGCCTGGGGCCTTGCCGTTATTAAGGTGCTGGAGAGCCATTCTAATCTCGCTTAGACTGACGTCCGGGATATCATCGGAATAATGTCGGATAAGACTCGCTCTTGGATCGTTACTCCAACTTGCATTTGGCTCCAACGATGACGTGTACAGCTGCCCATAGAACCTCTCAATCTCACTCAAAATCTCAGGTGCCCCGGAAACGATGCTGCCACATTCAGTCTTCAGCTTTGACAGTTGGCTCTTTCTGGCAGACAGATCTCTGGCAAAGACTTTGGAGCCTTGGTTCCGCTCGATCGTTTCTTCAATACGAGCTGTATTGAAGTTGCGTAAATCCCGCCGCATGCATTTGGAGATCTGTCTGTTCAGTTGCCTTTATGCTGTCAAATCTGTTGAAGAATGTAGCTTCATCTCCCGTCTAACAGCCATGAGATTAAGAGTGTGATCGGAGAGTTTTTGTGTTCTTCTGCGGCGGGTCTTGCAGAACTTAGCTCCGACCGCATGGACAGTTTCCACGAGCTTGTCATTCAAATCGTCCACTTCATTGCAGTCTTCTAGGCACTGAAAACGGTTTTGTAACTCGAGCTGAAAGGTTTCGGGACTTTGGATTAGAGCACGAGGGGGACGGAGCGTTGACTTCATTAGACGAGACCTCTCCAACTTAACGTTTAGGTTCAGTGTGCCTCTAACCATTCGGTGATCGCTGCCGGTTTTCACCCTCGCGATCACTGAGACATCACTGAACAGTTGTCGTCTGGTCGTCATAATTAAGTCAATCTCATTTTTTGTGGAACCGTCGGGGCTCGACCAGGTCCACTTCCTGTGGGGCCGCTTCTGGAAGAAAGAGTTCATCATAAAGAGTCCCTCTTTTTCCATGAAGTCGGCTAACTGCTGGCCCCTTGGGTTCCGTTGCCCTATTCCAAATTTCCCCACTTTCAGCTCACCGTTCTCTCTTGTGCCTAGTTTTGCATTGAAGTCTCCCATTAACACCGTATATTGTGTTTTGGAGGAATGCATGGCTCTAGAGATATCCTCATACATTTCCTCCACCTCCGGATCGGGGTGTGCCGAGGTTGGTGCGTAAACCTGTATGACCTTCAGCGAATACCGTTTGGTGATTCTGAGTATAAGGTACGCAACCCTCGTCGACACACTCCCGATCTTTACAACGTTGTTAACGAGAGACTTGTGGACGATAAATCCGACACCTCCTTGGGACAGTTGGTCGCCCTCCCGGTAATAGAGCAAGTTGCCGGATTCGAGGATTACCGTGTCCTCCCCCTCTCTTCGGACTTCGGATAATCCTATAATATATATGCCAGCGTAACTTGTCTATCTCTTCTTCCAGCTCCACAATCTTCTCGTCAGTCATCAGGGTGCGTGCGTTGTATGTTGCCAGGTCGAGTCGTCGTAGGTGGCAACCGAACCTCCACCGGAGATTCTTAGCACCCACAATAGATATAAGGCTAGGTAATTAATAAGAACGTACCTGGGTCCGAAGCTTAGACTGACCCCAAGGCTCGGTCAGGCGGTAGGTAGGTGCATGTAAGTAGTGTGTTAGAAGGTGTGTATATGTGACCTGACCTAACTGAGGTGATCGGGCAGCGGCCTGGTCCGATGCTGCCCCACAATGTGGTATCACTCCAGCGGACGTCACCAATTGACAACTTCTTTCTTCATTTCACTATTTCAGTTTATCAACTTTATTGTACACATAATTAACTTCAAAGTCAACCAATTCAACGTTTATCGAAATCAAACACGTGACACCCGACACAAGTAACGAACAGTCGTTCAAAGTTCAATATTCCGGGTTCATTTAGCACCAAATTACAAACAGGGAACGAACGCGATCTCTTCTCGAGACACAAATTTCAGCGTTCCAAACAACAAACTAAATTCCTTCGTACGATATTAAATACTACGCCTGCAATAACAACTCAAAATCAGCCTAGCTGACATGCAAACTAACTACATAGTCAACACACAAAAGGCACTTAACGCGACGGTACAATTCAACATTAACTTCCAAAAATAATTAACCTGGCCACGCCCTCGAAATGGAATGCGAGCATCAAATTCCAGACCGTATGTCCACTCGGCGGGCGCGCAAGGTTCCACGTCAACTAACAAGTTAAATATTGCAAAATGCACTTCAACATGCAATCACTATACAAATTGACGTAATTACTTGCAAACGAAATTACTTTAATCAGTCAAAGTCAATACAAGCCTCTTGTCACGAAACGTACAACTTAGACAATTTAATTCGAGGCGGTCTACACGAAACCCAAATTCAATAGTAAATTAAACGCGCACAAATACTCAAATTCTAGACCACAAAACCAAAACCCTAGCCGCGCGAAACCGATGCAGCGGTCACAACAAAATACGCTAATCGACAGCGCGCTGCTGGCAAGCTACTGTCAGCCCATCGGCCGGAATAACGGGAAGCCGGCGCACAGCCGCCCCCCCTGGCAGCACCTACCTCACCTCAAACCATCGGGCGATGCGCTTAGTCAAACGCGATTGGCTGGCGTTTCAAATGCCCATGTTTGGGCCTAAACAGTTATGATAGAGGCATTTTAAGAACACAAAATTGCTTGAACTTGACGTGTCGAGAGTAAGGCTGCTTTTCCACCAGAGATGTGCGAGGTAGGTGGGCGGTGCGAAGATGCGTAGCGAGGCTGTGGAACGGTGTGAGCGTTTCCACCAGAAATGTGCGAGGCTGCTGAGTGGTGCGAGGATGCGCAGCGACGCTGTGAAATGGAGCGCAGATGAGCAGTGCGAGGTTGTGTAGTAAAGATGGCTAATATACATTTTTTGTTAAAATAAACAGTTTATGCAGTCTCTGTAGTGAGTGCCTTCCTTCTTGATAATATTCTCAATTAAATTCAGTAACGCTTCAAAGTTATTTCTAGATACCCGACAAGAATTTTCGAAAGTTTCATCATCAGCTGTTTTGAAAAAAATAAAAAATTCTCCATATTTGAATATGTACCCATATTAAATTTCGATGATATTTAATATGGGTACATATTCAAAACCTATTTTGTCTTCTACGTGTCAAATATAAAATGTTTTTTTTTCACTGATCCATGTTTTCTGTACACTATACAGCTACATCTGACAAATAACGTCTAGTTACTGTTATTTTTTCGCTCCAGTCCGCCACTAGCACATATTCCTCGCAACACATACTTTGCACACAGCCCTCGCTCACATCTCTCGTAACACAACCCTCGCAACACATCTCTCGCACACATTTTTCTCTTGTTTTGTATGTACAAAAATCTCGCTCCGCTGAGCCGTTTCCACTAGAGCTGCGCTGAGCGAGGCGAGGTAAATGGAGTGATTCTATTGGTTCTTAACAAACACATTCCTCGCTACCTATCCTCGCACATCTCTGGTGAAAACGCAACCTAAAGCACTACCTAATAACGCTTCCCGTTATGAGGCGTGCAAAAATGAACCTTCTTTGCTCAAACACAATAATTAATGCTACTCAGTTATGCGAGTTATTGGTAAAGTCAAAGGTAAATTAATTTGAAACAAAAGTATACTTTTTGGTAATCCCTAAAATCACAACCACGATTCCTAGTGTCTATCGTTTACCATGTAATGTTCAACTAGCTCATCCAAATTTTTACCATCCCAGTGATATTCAAGTTTTACTGTGAACTAATATCTCTGGGATATTGTAAACAGCAATCAAATTAAATTAGGATACAATAAGCCCACGTTGTAAGATTCTAATTTGGGCTGGCTTGTAGCTGGTCCTATTGGTAATAACTTTAAATCCACTTAAATACAGTGTAATTTCACACAATAAATTCGTGAAATTGTCTTCAAATTATGGGAAATTAAAGACATTCCGTCAAATACTAACATTTTAACTAAAAAGGAGACAATCAATTCTTATATTTATGCGAATATTACACATAACATCCCGTGGGTGTTGAAAGAGGCGACAGAGGGAAACAAATCGGGAGACGGGCAGCAACGTCCCAATAACGACTAAAAATAAAAAATAAATAAACTGCGGCTGCCAACATGCTTACCAAATGTGGCAAGTATAGCAAATATCTCCCCTATGAAGCAATCTAAAGGGGAAGGCCTATGTTTATTAGTATATTATTATCTTATTAGTGGACTTTAATAGGCTGTAACTGTAATCGGATAAAAAAAATTTTTAGAATTTTATCGCGTTTAATTTTAAGTATGACTGGCACTGGGCTTATTAAACTCCGTCATCCTTAGTAGACTAAAATCATTTTTTGGTGTGAAGTCAAATAAAAACATTTTTTTTTGTGTTTATCTTTATTAACAATGAATTGATACAACTAAATCTGCCGCCGCCATGAAATGTTGGAGCTCATACGCCCCGCACCGCACTGAATAAGGGCAGTTTTTCATATAGTTTAGTGATGGGAAATAAAAATATCGGTAAACTTCATACGGATTGACAATCCGTAGTGATGACTTTCGCGGGCCGATAAAGGAAAAGAAGAATGGATTAAATAAATAGATATTTCAAGGAAATAGTAACATAATTTATTTATATCAGATATTACTTGATTATTTTTTTCTTCAACTCTAGTAATAATTTCTAGTTTATTTTCCTTTGTTTTATGCAAATATTTCTTCTTTTTGTCTCGTTTATTTATATTTTGAGCTCATCTGCAAGAGCTTGGTATTTAATTTTCCTTAAAACTAACAATACTTGTAGTTACAACATTCCGTCACAAGCGGGCACATTCAAATGCGCCGTAAAAAAATCCTTTGCATTACCTTACATTGAATACAATTGGATTCACTTGCGTTGCTTGCCTCACTTCATCCTTCGTCAATAGCAAAGTTCACAGCGTGAAATTCTATAATACTCAAATTTATATTTACATTTAATATCGTCATCATCCGAGTTGTGGTTGCTCAGGTGTTAAACGCTCGCTGTAAATTTCACAGTACGCGAGCAGCCCGGGTTCGATCCCCGCCGTCACCAATAAAAAAGGTTAATTGCAACTTTAAGCGCTGATTTACCACATGCTCGGCGGTGAAGGAAAAAGTCGTGAGGAAACCTACATGTCTGAGATATAAGAAAAATGAAATTTCGAAGGCATTTGAAGCTTGCCAACACGCATTGGGACAGCCCGGTGGAATTTTCCTTGCCATAAAACCCCCTCAGGGATGAGAGGAGGCCTGTGCGCCAGTTGTGGGACGTAGCAACTGTAACTTTTATCATCATTATCATCATTATAAATCTTCACAGGTCCACTGCTGAACATAGATCTCTCCCAAGGATTACCACGAAAACCACTACTTTTAGCTAAAAATGTAGCAAAAATATCGCGCTACGACTTTTTTTACATCGCTATAAGTATTATATAGAGACTTAATATAAAATTTGGACAATCGTATAATGTTACCAGCGCATCTGATATCGCGCGTACCTTCATGAAGGTTGCGCTAGATCCGTCAAAATGGGCGCCGCCTTAATTTAATATGGCGGTGCCCATATTAAATATGGCAGCGCAATATGGCGGTATTGATATGATGTGAATATGGCGGGCCATGTTAAATAAGGTGTGTGTGTGTGGCAGGCCGGGCGGCGACGTGGCGCGCGGGCAGCGCACGGCGTCGGGCCTGTACTGCGGCGGCGCGCTGGTGGGGCGGCGCGCCGTGCTGACGTCGGCCACGTGCGTGCGCGCCGCCGCCGCCGAGGCCACGTGGGCGCGCGTGCCCGCCGCGTCCGACCCCGCGCGCCGCTACTCCGTCCTGCAAAAAGTAACCCATGAGAATTACAGCACTGGTGAGTAGCCACGACCAATACCACTCTTACCATTACCGTTACAGCCTATTAAAGTCCACTGCTGAACTTGGGCCTCCCCCATAGATTACCTCATTGAGGGGATATCTGCCATAGTTGCCATGCTTGGCAAGCGGGTTGGCAACCACAGTTTTTACTTCTTCTACATCTCCTGATCTTCTCCCAGTGTCGCCTGTTACGACACTCGCTGGATGATATGGGCTAGTAGATAATGTTCTTACACAGCAACTACACCGTTAATGCCACCCTCACTCTATCAAATCAACAAACACAAACAAATATCGAATCGTATCTGTCTATTCGATTTGAATATCTGATGTTAAATCTATATATCTCAATATATGTATATTATGTAGTGGTTGATATCTGCGTGATTCTGTAACTCCGTTAAGGAGGTCAGTATTCAGTGATTCGGTACGATTTTTGATGGGGTAAGTTTGTGTATATTTATAGATATATTGTAATAGCTATATTTTGAGAACAATATTACGTATCGGTTAATATCTATGGTACTCTAAAACGAGTTTATCTACAACAAAAAGTGGGAGTAGGTATATATTTTTTTTACTTGAAATATAATCATTCGCATTCTTTCGCAGCCAAAAGGTAGGTATTTTCGCAGGCAACACGGTAAATTACATAGTAGAGTCACACTACAGCTATATTAATTATAGCATGGGGTCGACTCGACTGGGGTAGGACTACGCTCTCACAGAAATAGCAACTTATTTCTGCTGTTATTCGTATGGTGAGTCGAAGACCCATTTAACAGGAAACGAGACATTAAATCTTAATCAGATTCAGCATTTTTGTAGGACGTCGATTCAGCCGTACAACTAGATTTACTTTAGTGAGCAGTGCGGTTGCAACTAGGTTTATAGTACGCATATATACGTAAAGTATAAGTCCACAGGTTCTATACCTGTGGACTTATATTTTGACAGGAAAGCGCCTGCGTATGGCTACTCCTACAACTTTATAATTTGTTGCTACTCCTGTCCGGTCTCCGGTCTGCCGCACCGGTTACCCGTTTTGTTTTATGTGCGCAGCGCTCGTGGTTCGTCCGAAATTTAATTCAGTGTATCATAATATTGTTGTGCGCCACTATTAATATCTTGTACATGGCAACACTGGTTACCACTAGCGCTCTCCAGTGTCGAGTAGCAGAACTAGGAGAGTCAATATCCTTCTAGAAATTTCGGGAGCGAACCGAACCGAGGTTCTGGAAACTATCTGAGGCACTTATATAAGGCCGGCATAGACCACGACCGGGTCAGTATTGAATTGGCGATACAAGAGAATACTTCGAAGCGAAATAACTGCGAACTAAAGTGATCAGTAGTACAATTGTGTTTTTTTTAGTGTGAATTTAGATTCTAATTAGTGCTCGGTAATTAAAGTGTTAAGTTTGGTAATTCAATCGGCAGTTTTTAATTGTCTCGAACCCCAAGATCGTAACAATATCATGGATATTTTATGTTAGATTTGAGTAGGGTAGAACAGAGTTCGATGGTTGATGTTTTGTGAAGTGTTTTGAGAACTATGTATGTCACTCGATATGTAGATAGCGGGTATTGTACCAATATATATAGATATTATATAGATCACTCTTATAACAATAAAAGAACTGCATCAACGTGTTTCAGACGCGGCTCGACAGATTGAACATTTTATCATTAAAATAACGGATATGGAATTTTAGTTTTAATAATTATTACACCTTAAACACCCCATAGAAACACTCCTACAGATTACCGAAGCAAATAAATCTTTTTATTTTAAGAAACGTCAGACTAGAGAAACATAGGTAGCAATAACTCAGTAATTTGACAACAAAAAAATTGAGTTTATTACCGTTTTAGAATCTGCATGAAGTAGGCATGTTTTTGGGCTATTGACCACTCTAATCACTATACTTTTTTCATACCACAGTTGCTCAAACTCCGTCACTGAACAATCGAAAATTCAAAATTTTCTTTTTAAGTATTTAAAAGAAATGGTTACAGCTAGAAATACTTTGCAATGAGCGATGGCAAAGCCAAACATTCACGGTTATTTCCAGAGAAAATCAATTGGTTATTAATAAATTTGAAGCCGTAGCGTACTAGTATAATGTAAACGGAGGTATCAGATTTCATACCTTAAAAAAATTGCATACTGCTACAAATATATTTTTATGTTATTTTTTCTGAGTGGCCGAGGTGTCCCCATTAGTACCTGCGGGGCTATCCATTACTTACAGCAATTCTGAAGTTTTCACTTCAAAAATATTTCAAAGGCATGTGAAATTCGCAGACACGCATTAAAACACCTAGACTAGAGGACTCTAGCCTTTAAACATATATATATATATATATATGTTTAAAGGCTAGAGTCCTCTAGTCCCTTGCTTGCTCACAACTCACAAGTAAACCTAGCAATAACATACCATCATAAATTCGTAATGTGACAATTTGAATTGGAAATAATTCTTCTTCATAAGAAGTCTCTTGTACGATTTTATAAATACTAAATTAATAATGTATTAATAACACATTTTGTAAATTGAATAAAACTATTTTTACGGATTTTATCGCGTTTAATTAACTTATTTTATATTGCCGACGTTTCGGTTGCTTTCCAGCGGTTGCGGTTCATTTTCCTACATTTTTAGAATCTTTGTTCAGTTCTTTGTTGAAGAACCCAACTACCACTTCATGATCTCGCCAATGTTAAGGAGCAAACCAAAGCATTATTTTTTAGAATTTGTTGCTGATGTATGTATGTGAATGTGCCAAGCATGTGTATTTTATAGTCTATTGTTCATATATAATATAAAAGCATTTAGTAATAGTTATTACTCTTACCTAATGCTTTTATTAAAAATGAAAACGTAACATTTAAACTTTAAAAAATATCAGATATAAGCAGCAAGCAGAAACCTACTCTAAAAAAAACTAAGTTGTGCGTGTCATGATATTAACTTGGGCATAATTTTATGTTTCTTTAACTCGTGTTTACTGACTGGCTAACATGTAAATTCCAATAATCCTGTACTGCTAATTGCCTAATTGCTTCCATTAATAATTTAAGGCACACATGCGAACGACTTCGGACTTCTTGTTCTGAACGAGGACGTGCAGTGGGATGATGGACCACAACCTTCTAAAGGAGCGTGTATAGGCCTTCAGTCACCGCTAGAAGGCGCTTGTTTTGCGGCTGGATTTAATATGCTGGAAGATATAGTTATGGTAAGTGTTTTATAAAATATAAGAAACAAGATTTTTCGAAATCACCAAGCCAGGAAAGCGAAGCGCACGGACACTGGAGCCGTTTATTGTGTAATTGCTCATGAGTCGACCCAGGAAAATAAAGGAACGGGTGGGATATGATATGGTAGATGACGTTATGGTAGGATTACGCAAACCGAAAGGAACGGGGAGTGTCTATAGCAGATTAGGGAGGCGGGTTCACATACACGTGTACCATATGCCAATCATTGGAAAAGTAGTTACAAAAACGCCCCGAAGTCAGGAGATTGGCGGTGTTTTGCCGCCAACCTCGGAAAACACGTAAAGCCGTTGGTATACGCAATCTCTTCGTAGTCGTGACGTTTTGCCGTCTCCTTGGACTGTAAGTGCTCGCGCACTATAATTGACACTTTAACACTATAATTGTTCACGACGAGGAACAATTTTCCCTAAAATATTCAGTTAGTTTCTACAATAGAGTGTCTTATCTTCTTTATATATAAAAATTACGTGTCACATTGTTTGTCCGCGATGAACTCCTAAACTACTAAACTGATTTCAATGAAATTTTGCACACTGTGTGCAGTTTGGTCCAACTAGAAAGATAGGATAATTTTTATCCCGGTAAGTGATCCTGAATATTTTTTATTACGATTTAAGGATTTTTATAGGACAGAAGGTTGTCGGAGAGGGCAGAACGTCTGCTTGGCCAGCTAGTCTTTATATATAAAAGCTAGCTGTGCCCCGCGGTTTCACCCGCGTCATCACGAGTCCGAGGTGCGCGACATGACATGACACCTAGTTCAAGCATTTTATAATTGCAATCAAATATTTTATTTGATAGCAATGTATGGAAAACTTGGCATAATTAATGGAGTACTTTTATCTGTCGGCATATTATGCATGATGTAGAGCGAAGTTAAGTTTTATCCACTTTCCCTCCCCCTCCCGGTTGAGCGTCCTTCCCCCCCCCCCCAACCCCCTCCCTCTCACGTCCCAGAAAGTGTCCCGAAGCGCGATTTTTTCCAATTTTAAAGAAAACCGTACACGATACATGAAAATTGTGTAGGCATGAAATGATTCTTTTTTTTTTTTTTTTTATAGGAGAGGGGGCAAACGAGCATGCGGCTCACCTGATGGTAAGTGACTACCGCCGCCCATGAACAACCGCAACACCAGGGGAATTGCAGATGCGTTGCCGGCCTTTTAAAAAGGAGTAGGCTCTTTTCTTGAAGGTCCCTAAGTCGTATCGGTCCGGAAAAATCCCTGGTGGTAAACTATTCCACAAGGAAGTTGTGCGAGGAAGAAAACATCTTCTAAATCGCACAGTGGTGGACCGCCAATCATCCAGATGGTGTGGATGGTATCGGGAGTTCTGCCGCGATGTGCGTTCGTGAAATTTGGCGGCTGGGATTAATCCGAACAATTCCTCAGAGCACTCCCCATGGTAGATGCGAAAGAAAATGCAAAGAGATGCAACATCTCTTCGCAGTGCCAATGAATCGAGCCGATCGGAAAGGGCTCGGTCGTCGACGATTCGAGCCGCTCTGCGCTGGATGCGGTCAAGTGGAAGGAGCTGGCACTGGGGAGCCCCTGCCCAGAGATGGGAACAGTATTCCATGTGAGGCCGAACCTGCGCCTTGTAAAGTTGCAGGCGGTGTGCCGGCATGAAATACTGTCCCGCTCTGCTGAGCACGCCAAGCTTTTTAGAGGCCAATTTGGCCTTCTCTTCCAAGTGACCACGAAACTGCACGTCACTCGATATGTCGACTCCGAGGATACCGATACTGGCTGAGGCAAGAAGGGGAGTGCCTTGAAACTGAGGAGATACGACAAAGGGGTTCTTTTTAGCGGTAAACGCGCAAACTTGTGTCTTCTGAGGATTAAACTGGACTAGATTTAGTCGCCCCCAATCCGAGACTTTGTCCAGCAAAGACTCGACTTCAGACACAAGTTTGTTCCGGTACTCGGCGACGTTTTCCCGAGAAATATTGGCCCGGCCGGTGTATAGAGCATCACCAGTGCTGTCATCCGCATAGCAATGAATGTTACCAGTTAGCAACATATCATTGATATGCAGAAGAAACAGCGTTGGTGATAGCACACAGCCTTGTGGAACACCAGCGTTAATAGGCTTGTAGTCAGAACATGCACCGTCTACAACGACCTTGATGCTCCGATCTGCAAGAAAGCTGGTGATCCAATTGCACAATTTCTCGGGAAGCCCATAGGAAGGCAGCTTTGAAAGAAGCGCTTTGTGCCAAACCCGATCAAAGGCCTTCGCAATGTCCAGACTAACGGCCAACGCCTCCCCCTTGGACTCTACTGCCTCCGCCCATCTATGGGTCAGGTAGACAAGAAGATCACCAGCTGATCGACACCGACGAAAACCGTATTGGCGGTCACTAATCAGCTGGTGATCCTCAAGGTACCGGATGAGCTGGCAGTTAATAATGGATTCCATTATTTTGGAGAACAAGGAGGTGATCGCGATAGGCCTATAGTTGGACGGGTCTGAGCGGTCGCCTTTTTTAGGGATCGGGTGGACAAAAGCTGTCTTCCATGAATTCGGGACTACGCCTTGGGAGTAGTAGTACCGGAAAAGACGCGTTAGGACCGGTGCCAACTCCGGAGCACACGTCCTCAGCACAATTGGGGGGATTCCGTCAGGCCCACTCGACTTCTGGATGTCCAGGGAGAGCAGTGCTTTGCGAACCGAGCGCTGTGAGAACAGCACATCCGGCATGGAGCACTCACACCGCGGGATGGTCGGCGGTGTTTTCCCCCCGTCATCAAGAGTCGAGTTGGACGCAAAAAGGGAGCCTAAAAGGTCGGCTTTGTCTTTTGCGTCATGGGCCAGTGAGTCATCCTCCCTGTGCAGAGATGGTAGTGATGGCTTACAGAAATTCCCTTGGACAGCCTTGGCGAGAGACCAGAATGCACGGGTTCCCGAAGGAAGACGAACTAGTTTCTTGCCAATTCTGCCTATGTGCTCTGACTTTGCCTTGGCAATAACTCTTTTGAAGGACCTGGAGGCGAAGTTATACTTCTTTTTAAGTGTGCTGGTGTTTACATCCCGAGTCACCGAAGCTGCAGCCCAGGCTTGATAACACTCCTGCTTACTGCGCAATGCAGTCTTACAGGAGCGACCAAACCAAGGCTGAGATCTGCCTCCGATGGGTACCACAGATGATGGAATAAATAGTTCCATTCCCTGTAGCACCACATCAGTGACAGAGTCAGCAACAGCACTGGGATCATCCGGCGAGAAGCAAACCCGCCCCCATGGGTAGGATGCAAAGAAAGACCGCATTCCGTCCCAATCCGCCGACCTGTAATGCCAAACACGGCGGCAACCTGCAGAACGCAACCGCGAAGGGAGCGTGAGTGGCACCATACTCCGGATCAGACAATGGTCCGAAGAGCCGAGAGGGGCATCGACGGAAACCTGATATCCGTCCGGATGAGAGGTCAGCAGAAGGTCCAACAGGGAAGGTGTATGATCCTCCACATCTGGAATCCGCGTAGGCGAAGTAACCAGTTGTGTCAGGCCATATGCCAAGGCAAAGTCATAAACAGATCTCCCCGCATGATCGGTTAAACGTGAACCGAGCCATTCGGCATGGTGGGCGTTAAAATCGCCAAGGATCACGATCTCTGCGGATGGGACCTGTTGTAGCAAGGAATCTGTAGCCATTTGGACGTGGTCGATGAGTCGGTCTGTTTCGGCATTACCGCTATGGGACCTATAGAGGCACCCGTAGACGCGCGGATGGTCGTCGCTGTCTACGCGTAGCCAAAGGATGGACAGGTCCGAACCTTCAAGACTGCCGAGGCGTCGAGAACAGATGTCCTCTCTAACATACACGCAAACTCCAGCCCGAGGCACAAAGGAGTGCTCCAATTTGTACCCCGGGTAGGAGAGATACGAAATATCAGTCGGAGAGGAAACCTGCGTCTCGGTCAAAAAGAGCAAGGCCGGCTTCGCCGTCTCGAGATGGTAGTGGACGGCGTTTAGGTTACAGTGAAGTCCCCTGATGTTGCAGAAATTCACGGATAGCGTGGCAGGGGTCGCCTTGGTATTGTTGCTCAGCTTGCCCCGAGCAGTTTTGTTTTTGAGCGGAATTTTGCCCCCCCCAGAATACGCGGGGCAGCCTGAGCACCCACGCTCAGGATTGGAATAACATGGTCGTGGATGCTCAGCGAGGGATTCTCCAGGGGTACTGGTACCCTCCTGGGGTAGTCTATTGTCTAATTCCGCTACCATGTTGATGGGGGGGGGGGGGGGGGAATTGGGCCTCCGGCCACCTGCACTCACCAGACGAAACGCAGAAGCAGAGCCTCTACTTCACGCCGGTATTCTGTGAGGTCGTGGTACCAACCCGGCTCGAGCCGGCCCAAACGTGCAACAGCAAAAAACTGCTGCAGGGCTCTACCACCGTTAAAATTCTTGATAAATTTGCTATCAAACTCTTATACTTATTAATCAATAAAAATTTTCAAAATACCATAGCAACGTGAAATGAAAGAGTTCACAAATAAAGATGTAACTAATCATTGTCATAAAAGTACTCCATTAATTTCCAATTTATTTTAGCTATAATGATTGAACTAACCTCGCTCTTAGAAGCTTTCTATACTGGCTTCTCGAAGTTCTCACCGGACGGCTAGGGTTTAAGCGCCGTTCGCTCGCCCAGCCACGTATTGAATTATTTTAATTTTACATTATCTCTTAAACTATGCGTCCAAATAACATATTATCTTCATAAAATTGTCATGATGATGAAGTAACTTTCGTTCGTAAGGATAAATAGACCATGCCTAATAATAACGCTTATAAATCACTTTTTAATTTTCAATATTTTTTTGTCACAAAATACCTAATTATGGCTTATTTATAAGAAATAGACATATGGTATCGCAGACTTTTTTTAGACGAAGTAAAGATCTATATTTTTCTAGAATATTGTATTTACGTATCCCTAACCATAACACCAGCG